TTTTTTTTCAATCATATAGTGGTGTAGACTAGTCTTTTAAGAACATTTTGCTGGAAATTTTTTTTGGATACGGCGCCCCGTTATAGAGTTATTATTTTTTAAATAACATGATGTCAAAAAATCCGCCCAAAAGCTTATCTTATTTCTGTTGGTTACGCACCGCTGATTCGCAATGTTTGTTATCACTTCAAGATGTCTACCGATTCGTGAAAAAGGCGTATTACTACAGCTTTCAGGCTATGTTTGAATTTTGAATTTCGTCTCCTCGATGTTATCTTGGAATTCCGATAAATTATCTTGGAAAGACGTCTTTCCAAGTTAAATTATCTCGGAAATCCGTCTTTCCGAGATAAATTATCTCGGAAAGACGTCTTAATAAGTACTTATTCCATGTTTCCATGATAATTATCTTGGAAACTCGGAAACGCGGAAGGTCACTTTAAGCTTCCGTATATTTTGCCATTATCAGCATTTAAATATTGTTTAATCCGCACCGCGCACACTTCCTCGTGAGTCAAAGTGCGGCGGATCACCTAACTCGTCCTCACTGACGAGTTCAAATCTAGTTATATAAGCTGAAACCAGCCATGTAACAGACTAAAGTAGTCATTGTAAATTAATATTTAGGAAGAATATAATTATAAGTAAATTTATTGAAATGGTACATAATAAGAAAGACTCCTTTCAATTTTCGGAAGAAAAGGTCAAAGAACAAGATCACGGAAATTAGATTTTTTACCCCCGAGAATAAAAGAAATTAATTGAATTGCCCCTTGTATTCAGGCAGCACAAAAAAAAAAAAACAATGGGCCTGAATACGAGCTGAATACAACCGGTGATTCCATTATTTTCTTGAGGAAAGGTTGCAGCACTCAAGAAAATAATGTGTCTAATTATTTCATTGAGGTTATGCTGCAGTTTAGCCCATCATACACGCCTTGTGTATAATTGTTGGTACTTTACTCAGGCACAAGGCGGAGGTATGCACTCTATGTGACTTCTCTAGTTTAGAGATGTTTTGCTTAGCAAGTGATGATCTTTTTTGCTTTATTTAGCTTTTTAAAAGAAAAAAGAAAATTCAAGAAATTTTTTTTTTACAATAAACAATAAACAATATTTTAGATGATCCCCCTTCCTCAAAACGGAAGGGGGTGGTCTCGGGAGAGTTTCAATTCTAAGATGGCGGGAGATGAGCTTTCCCTACTTTTGAGCTAGGTGTATTTTAATGACTTAGTTCTTCAAAATTGAAGTTTCTCTCCCCCACCCCCCCCCCCCTTTTGAAAACGGTCAAGTGAACTTTCTCATTTTTATTACAGTAAATAGGCCTGTTATATGTGTATACATACATAAAAAATACGTAGTTCCATACGTATTTTTATTTCCATGAATTGATAAACGCCGAAGAGAAGAAGCGTGGGGGGGGGGGTTCTTCCCCTTGACAATTTTGATTCCAGATTACGGAAAATATGCTTTCCCGACTTCTGAGGTGCCTTTAAATTGAATTGTTCAAAATTGAAGGCTTTTCCCTCTTGAAAAGGATTCCATAAATCAATGAACCCCAAAGAGAAAGGGGGTGGGGAAGGTCGGGTTCTCCCCGGGAAATGTTGATTTCTAAATTTGGCAGGAAATGAGCTATTCCTGACTTCTGAAGTGCCTCTTGAAAACTGTCAGGTAAATTTTCCTCATTCTTATTGCAGAAAATAGGGCTTATATGTGTATATTATACATTTAAAAAAATCAGTAGTTGCATACGTATTCTTTTTTTCGATGAATCGATAAGTTCCAACAAGAAAGGGAGTCACGGGGGTTCTCGAGTCCCCCGGGAAATTTTCGGTTCCTAGATGGCGGGAAATGAGCTTTCATAAGAATGGTTATAGACGGGTGGTGGTGTGCTACACATTTTTTTTTTACCATGGTTGAAAAAATGGCTCCTCAGCAAATGCGTCATTAAAAAAAAATAATGTCTTCACTTTAATTTAAGGGTTTAAATTTTATTTGGATGGATGGATGGCTTTATTCGGTAAACAGTAAACAGCAAGGATATCTTATGAATGTCTGAAAAAGACATATCCTGTGGGATCCTTCTGGTTGTGATTGAGCAGCTCTTTTCCGAATGAGTGTAGTGCACATGAGCCATATTGCATTTTTTGGGCATCCCTCAAAACTCTCGATAGTGTTTCCCCGAAAATGACAATTTAGGGTTTCGACAGCTTATTTAATCAGTTTTGAGGTTACTAATATGTAAAATATACACATATTTTTTTTTTCACCTACGAATTGTGGTTTTTCTCCCCGAAAAGGGGCAGAAAGCAAAAATGGGAATTATAATAAAATTTTAATCTGAGAGTGGCATTTCCGGCCATCTAGAAGTGCTATAATCATACGTTTTCAGCCATGGGAGAGCTAAGGTGGCCTTCACCCTCACCTTATTCCCTGACCCGCCATTGCAATTGTTAAATTTTGTGTGCCACCAATTTTCTTGATTTTGTTTAAAACAGCTGCTGAGACCGAATAGGCCTATGCCTTAAAATAGTTACGAGCGATTATCATTGGTATTTATTAGGCATACTATAGCCTAGGCCTTTGGAAGTTGGGAGTAAAAGAAGCAATTTTTACTATGAAATTTCTGACAACTTTAGGAAATTTCCTGTATCACATCAAAGGGCCCGGCAATCAATCTTCACTGGGGCCCTTTCGGACTTAACTACTCCGCTGAAGACCATGGCTCCAATTCAAAACCACATTTTCGCCCTCGAGCTTCTACTATGAAACTCCAACCCTAAATCCGAATCTGGGAAAGATGGAAGAAGTAAAACAGTGTTTGGCGTAATTATTGGCACATGCCAGGGCCGTAAAAGGCGAATGAGACATGACTATAATTACAGTTATACAGGTATGCCCCAAAACAGGCATACCCTATGTGGTTGGCGGCCGAACCCGCCTTAAACAACACACAAAACCCCTAAAGATATAAAACAACTCCCAGTATCCAAACTATGGGTGGGAGGGTAGGGATCGGAAAACACCTGAGACTATGGCTGTCTTCTATGTTAGCTGTGTGTTCAGGTCCAGGATATACTCGCGTGCTAAGCCGCCGCACACAACTGTTGCGCCGCGCAACAGTTGTTGCGCGTAAAACACACACCAGGAGCAAAATCCAGACAAACAAGTTAGGCGAGCGCTCGGTGCGAAAATAGTGTTTGCTAGCAAACCCGATATTTCTGCGACTGCCCCCGTTGAATGGCTATCTTTTATCATTAGCTGTTCCCTCCAATTAAAGATTGCCTTTATTTAGAGACCATGGGTTTGGTAGATCCATCTGATACTTTCCCCTCCATGTACAGACCACTATAAAATAAATAGGCCCTAGTGATTCTAATGCAGTTTTTTTTCTACAATAAATTATGTTATAGGCCTATATGACTTACACACAACAATATTAGCCAATGCACTGTTTGTGTAGTGTTTTGTATATTGAATGACGATAATATTAGTGGCAATGTTAGTAATATTGTAATGGGAAGACAAGTTGATGTTTGGCTACCAAAAAATGTTTAAGGATAAATAAGAGCATGCAGTTACTGTACAAACATTTTAAAATATTTATTGTATTATTTTTCAATTTCCCTCTAAATAGAGAAATCTAAAGACCACATTTTTATTGCGCATGAGTCCCAAGTCTCCTGTAAAGTCCAGAAATGTGGTATCCTGGAAATTGGCATGAAAAACGCATTCTGGTCCGCAGGCAAGCACAAATCTTCCGAAATAAACCATCTCCCGCAAATTCATGATGATATTTGCATGATTTTACAAGTTTTATACTGTATTATCAATTGTCTCCCAGCAGTAACTGTCAATCATAATTATTATTACTGTACAATGTACAGCAAAATATGTTTAGATGTCATAAGAAAATTCATTTAAACAGATCTCTCGGATGTGGATTTTTCCAAATCCAAGGTGGGATGACCACCAGATCCACCAATGTGAATTGCAAGAAAAAATGTAACTCGGTAGGGGACGGGATAAACACTCTCTTTCTCCTCAATCTCCCCCTTCTTCCCTCTTTCTTTTCATGCGTTTCTTTTCGATCATACAACAATCTCCAGACATTAGGCCTACATATTTTCTGCCAAAAAGTTGGGGGGGGGGCTCCCTCGGCCCCCTTCGGTTCCGCCGGCCATGAGTTTAAATAATTAGAATTTTTTTTAAACAGCTTTTGGAAACTACGCCTCTATTTTTCGTATTTCTGGAGAGGCAAGTAAACAACTTTTTAGTCCTCGACCTGATTATTAATTATTGATTCAGTCTTTAAGTACTTTAATTGTAGATAACGAGCCACCAGAGCTGCAATGTCCACAGAAAACATCCAACTACTATAAGACCAACTACGGATTTATCCACGCCTCCACCGACGATGGAAGCCCTAATGGTACAATTACATGGACGCCGTCGGTTGCTAGAGATAATAGCGGGATTTCACCTATCATTACTAATTTTCCTAACAAACCAGGTGAAGTGTACCCAATGAAGTTGTTTCCACCATACACAACTACAGTTACAGCAACAGACGTATCGGGGAACTCAAGAGAATGTGTTTTACATTTTGCTGTTGTAGGTATGTATGCTACATATTATGTCTTGTTTTGTTTTTCTTACTTTTTACTTTTTCTTACTCTTTAAATACAAAGACCTACGTCCGTCACTATAAATTAAAGGCACACTCTGAGTACTGAGCCTACATGAACGATGCGAATGTTTAGCGGTGTTTATAGTTTAGTAGGCATTTTTCGTTTTGACCACGCGGCAAGTCTACTACGAGCTAATGGAGCGTGACAGCAACGCCAAGACACTGTTCGCGTACTACACCAAGAGCTGTTTTCGTTTCTTAAGGCGACTACAACGACGCAGCACACACGTAGGCCTAAGGAGGGGAGTTAGTCGCCCATGGTTTTATTACCAGAGAACAATTGTTTTGTATTTGAAAAAGGAAATGTGAAAAAAAAACTTTAGCCAATACTGTGTACAAAATAAAAAGTTTCCAGAAAACACTGAGTGATGCTTCGCTTTTGGCTAGGATCTAGGCCTACCTAACCTAGGCTAGGCCAGCCTAGGTGTCAAAAGAGTCGTTACCGGGAGGAGAGGGTGTCAGGCCTGCTCAGGCAATTTGCCAAATGCAACGATGATGTACAAATAAATAACAATTTTAAACAGAGTTATTTTTAATTTATATAGCAAGGCTTGATCCACGACATCAAGGGCGGATGCCCTAGCTAGCGGCACCAGATAATGTGTTTTCTCCTACCAGAAATCCACCCTGACAAGACTAGGCTAGCCTAGGCCCAAAGGCCTAAAGCTCTTTTTTCACTATCCCCTGATTTACCTAATTTTATGTTGTGACTATTCATTCCTCATTTATTGCATGTGTATAAATAGGCCTTTATATAAAACGTTTAATTACTCACTTGTTTTAATAATTAATTCATTATTAAACGAACAATGCTCGATCGCGGATGCGATGAAAATTGCAACCCCCAACAAAAAAGTTACCAGCAGTTTGCTAAACAATCCGGTGATCTGATTGGTCAGTA